CGTTAATGTGTTATGCATATGACGCAGAGTAGATAGAGTAGATAGATACGATTAGGACGGTAAAGTAGATACGAGTCTAGATAGATAGACTAGATAGATAGATGAGAGCTAGATAGAGCGTAGATAGATACGGAGTAGATAGGAGGAGATGTAGATCAGTCTGTTGGTGGAGCTGGATTGGTGGAGTCTACCATCCTTCTTTCACTGGCCGGTCCTCCCACCTCTCACTCCGGTCTCTCTTTTTTCTCAACTGGATCAGTCCCCTTGTAACTGCGCTTCACAAGGAAAGACAACAATGTTAAGTGATCTACAAGGGCCCAGAGCTGGGGGTACAGGAAGGATTAAAAGTACTCTTCTATATAGTTCCCATTGCTATCTGCAAACAATACCTAGGAGCATCAACTTGTCTGGTCACTCCTATCTCTGTCGTCCAACCATGACGCACAGAAGGCTAACCGTGTTCCGCTCCCGACGAATCTGACTCAAAGGCAATGACTCCATAGATATACCCATCCGGCTCACGCACCGATGTCCGTTTACGTTCATTGTCATTTACTTTGGATGATTCTGGGCTCCCTCAGTGGACAGTATTTGGCAGATTTTGTTTAAACGCCATCCAAAAGAAGGATCTGCGAGCCTCTGCCCAAGCTCTCCTGTTTTCCCCTCGAAGGTCGAGTCAACCCAATGTTCTGCTTTTGATGAAGTAGTTCCCTCCAGAATATCCTGAAGAATATGAGACACGATCTTGTCTGAGTCACAGAGGTTAAGCCTCAGTGCTCCAGAGCATGCCTGGCATGTGGTCATAATCTTGGTGCCTATGCATGCAGGCTGAGGCCCTTCTGCTCATATGGGTTTACATGGACAACTTCGTGTGTATGATTCAGGTCACACGTCGGCTTTTTCTTCTAAGAATGTTGTCAGAGGGTGAGTAACAGCACAGTTCGCTTAGGTTGCAGCGCGGGTGTCAGTCTTAAGTCAGATAACTTTGTACCTGTTACATCTGTAAAGTGCTTCCATAGCTCAGTTGAGGGCGTTTAGGAGAGATGTGTGTTTGTGTGCGCATATCGGGCATGTTTTATTCAGGACACAGTAGAGAGCTACTAACTAAATGCTCAGGTTTGGTTGTCTCTGATTGGAGACGACAGTACCTGGGTATTTTTATGAGAATGTCCACAGGATTTCTTGGCAATGGTATGCACCGTTTCTGCTCGTGGTTTTTAATATTACGCACGTACCTATAAATAACGTTGAGTGCTATGTGAGTTCCAGGGTGCCAGGGTGAGTCATTGCAGCCATTCAGGAAGAGTCTTCCTCAGGGGTTCTGCATACTGCAGGTTTGAGCCACAGCTGCCTGCTTGGTGGACTGGGATGGGTGTCAGGCGGGAGGAGGCAATGGGAGGGAGCACCTTCAGCAACATTGATGACAGAGCGCCAAGGAATGCTGCAGGGTAAGTGGAACCACCAGAATTGCAGCTGAGCGTTGAATAGGCGGCTTGTTCAAGTGGTTACAGCCAAAAATCAGTAACTCGGGAGTCGTTAATAGCGCTTCATAGCTCAATCAATGATCAAGATAGATCCCCATTAAATTACAATAGATCCAATATGGTTAATCCTATTTCTTCCCTGTTGTGACCACGTTCCAAAAAAAACATGAACAGTTAAAAAACTTTATTTCCTCAAGAGCCCGGTTGGCCGCCTGGACCCCAATTTAAAAGACCACTGGTGTAACGTCACTCTCCTTTGTAACTCTGCGCTCTTCAGGTCCTGGGCGGGTCTCTGGGCTACTCTGCGTCACCTGAAGATGGGAAAGACAGTGACGAGCCTGAAGTGCTGCTTCCATTGACCCCGAGGATGCTTTATGCAAAGGTATGCAAGTCAATGCGTGTCGTATGTGTTGTGCACTATTAACACACACTCGCATGCAGTCTAAAGAAAATATGATAATGGGATGGTTAGTAATCCATTGTTGTGTTTGCCAGATCTGGGATGGGACAACTGGGTTGATCCACCCTGCCAGCATTACCATCGGTTCAGTCGTGCGCTCTGCAACCCGAAGTGAACCCACCATGCAGTGGTCCTATCAGTGCCCACACCAAACCGTGCCAGGAAGCCGATCACCAGTGTAGTGAAAATCTGCTAAGAGGTATTTCAAAGTACATTTAAATAGTGAAATAAGTGTCTGCAAACCCTAATTGCCTTATATTTTACATTTCTGATTTACATTTACACACATTTATAGTGTTTTCCTCTCAAAGTGCAAAGACATCCAGCTGAGTTGACCTGGAAAATACCCATAGGTGTGTGAGAGAGTCAGTGTTAGCACTCTGATGGACTGCTTTTACAGGAATTATATTATAGAAATGCTCAATTAACTCCTTATTAAAAGTCTTGCAAAATGTTTCCACTTTTCAAATACAAGACACTCCCCAAAGTTTGTCAGCCAGAAATGATGTGTACTATGGAAACAGTGTGATTGCACAAAACTATTTATTTGTAAAGACGAGTATTCACTGTGGACTCCTATAATCAGCTTTTACTAATTGTGAAGGAGTTATTTTAAATTAACTTAAAATGTATTCTCCTTTTACTCAAATAGTGTAAATTCACCTGTTGATAAATTTATGCAATCTTATGCACACCATTTATTAAAAAGTTACAGCATGCATCTTTTAAAATAAAGATTTATAGTCCACATTTCTAACCTTGTTTTGACTTTTTCTAATTTCATTAACTGTGTTAATGTGCCTTTCTCCAGATCCAGGTGCCATGTTGTCAGCCCACCTCCCAGAAAACGGTGCCTGTCGTCTATCTGGATGAATTCAGCACCCTTGTCATTTCCTCTGTGCAGCTGACCCACAGCTGCGGCTGTGAACATGGCAACCTCCAGCAGCCCAGCGAAGAGTAAAGTGAGATTAGTGAGCAACCTGGCGCACACACAAAAACATAAACTACATTATATACAGGCCTACCGTCTCTTTTGTAGACTGTTTCTCTTCAATTTCAGGTGTTATCTTAGATCCTTACAATGTGTGTTCAGAACTGAGCATGAGAACCAATACAAAGTCTCTCTATAATTCAGTTGACACTCGTGATACATGCTGCCATTTTATCTTTAAATAAATCTCATGAGTACAGAGTGCTATTTAAAGCTAGTAACATTTACTGAGTGTTCCCTCCAAAAATGTGAGACTGTCCAGAGCCAAATCCTCTCACAGGCCAGTTGTCTGATCTGCGAGACGACTGTCTCCTCTTAAGGGCAAGAAGTCAATTTACTCCTAGTAAGCAACCTGAGGTCAAATAAAATGGGTTAGGGTTAACCCTAATGCTCACCATTTTTAGGGTTAGACATTCTTCTGCAGGGAGAGTAACAGGAGAAGATTGTGTTCACCAGCTGAATTCTCTGCAACTAAAACTTAGTATCAGTTTCTCCTGTGGTATGAACATCTGTGCTTTTCCACCAACGTCCATTGGCCGCGCTCCATTTTCATGTTTCAACTGGCAGAAAAGATAAAAGGGACTGTTTGATTTATTATATGAAAGGCAGGCTTTGTCACACAAGAAAATATTAAAAAGTGAAATTAATCATAATTCCAACAAGTATTTTGTTATATCACATTTTAGTACTTTAGTGTGATGTGTTACTTTGACCAGTAAAATGAATACTCAAAGTCTGGTACACAAAATATAATCCAAATGAGTTGTTTATTGATTTTTACTTGTAGAGAATTTCAGTGTCTGTTCTATTTTTTAGTCTGTTATGTTATATATGAATCCAAAACATTTAGTCAGATTTACATAATGTGTGCTTTTATATACATTTTTAACAGAAGAGTTCTGGTTTTGTTTGTTTTCTCATGTCTCTTTGACCATTTCTCATGATTGGTTACAGTTCTCAGTTTTTTTTTATTTCTTTAAGACATATTTTATTTGTTAGGGTTAGGGTTAGGGTTAGGGTTTGATATGATCCTGCTCACTTTGCTATATTACCTCACTGTTCATCTTTTCAAGTGTTTTTTCACAAATGGACTCCTACTCATCAGACCAATATATCACCTGAACTAAATACATTTAGATCAAATGCATAATGTTTTATTGTGCTTTAAAATGTCCCTGATATGACATCTTAATCATTTGTACCAACTTAGTGATTTTTTGCTCACAATTATTGGAATAAAGATGATTCAAACCAAGAGTATTTTGTTTGTTTGTAATTTGCTTTTACTTCTTTTTTCTAACACAGTTTATTTTTGACTAAAGTTTATATGATTCTTAAAAAGAGCATTATTTTGTTAAATCTGTTCCTCGTGCCAGCCTTTCAGGATTTCACGCCTGCCAGAGAGTTGCATGTTAAGTCTAGAGGGAGGAAAATACCAGAGGAAGAAATGTTGGCACTGTACTCCAGAAAACTGGAAAAAAACTAAGCTGGTGAGGGGGTGTTGCGCACTTCTTAAAAGTCTTGCTCTGCATGCACGCTCGCGTTTAACTGTTTCCCTGGCTGTGAAATCTGAATTTATATGTGGAAGCAAGATATTGAGCCTGGACTACATTAAAGCAACTACTCTACAAGAGGACAGCAAGATCTGGGCCTGTAGCTTAACATAACCAGTTTGTATTTTATGCTTTAATGACACTGGATAGAATGTCAAGGTATTTCACAGTGTGGGTGTTTTTTGGCATATTGTGCCCCCTTCAGCTAGCTGTGGGGGCATTTGAGTGTTCAGAGAAGGAAAAACTGCTGAAACTGAGCCCCAGCACGGTGACACAGCTAACGGACTGTTTAATGGAGTGCACTGGGATGACATTCATCAGAAAACTGCAACTTCAGGATAATCGTAATATACGGCTTAAAGATTCTACAGAAGGTAAGGAGCCACTCTGTAACATTTGCATTTTAAGGATGCTGCAAAATAACATATCTTATGCTGAGTGTGTGTTTAAAGATAATCCCTAAACTAAATGTTATCAGTAGTAAAAGTGGTTCTCTTATGTCAATCCATTCCTGCCTGATCTGCTGTGTGTAGGCCTTCATGAAATAGTCTCTCTTCCTAGGAGACCTCGGGGAATACTGTTGGTCTATGGGGCTCAAGTGCACCATTGGGGAGAGTTTTCAGCAAGCCTATGTGGTGTTGCCTGTTGATATATCTTCAGTCGGACCTGAGATACTGGAAGTCAAAGTCATTGCCCCCACTGCCACCACATTGCACGCACACAACCTCCCCACCACAATCGCAGAGAACTGTGGCCTCCGGTACGACGTCACTCAGCACTTCAGCACGGAGAGGACGGAGGCTTCATTCTGCGTACAAGTTGTCACCCAGGAAGACATCCTGGGGGACAAAGTTCTTAAATGTCCTCCCTATCTGGTCACCTTCTGGCAGAGAAATCCAAGTCAGTCCAACCAAGAAGGTGATGGATAAAATCTCAGTGATGGAATGAATACTTTAATTAAAGTATTTATACCACACTGAAAATACAAGTAGTCCTGCATTGGAATTGTTACTTTAGTAAAAGTATGTGAGTATAATCAGGGAAAAATAGACCATAATTAGATTATTATCACTAATGAATTAATGTAAAAGCAGCATTTTACTGTTGAGGTGTGTATGTATTTTGTCCAGGACAGCATTAATGATTATTTTCATGACAGATTAATCTTTTGACTGTTTTCTTAATTAATTGATTGATTTTTTTTATTATTTTTTTGGTTTGTAAAAATACTGAAAATATCAAGAAATGCGTCACTATTACCCAGAGTCATATATAAACATTTAAGCTATATATCATTGCTGATTTGTGATGCTCTAAAGATAGCTTTCATTGCACTCATGATATACATTAACATTAACATACCATGGTACATAATTACAGTATATTGTGAACATTTCTCATGATATGGTATTCTGTTTTATAAGGGACATTTTAAAATTAGAATAAATGATAATCTTTTTTTAGGTTTTCTTTATGTGAATTTTGTTTCTTGTTTTAGTTGTGAAGCTATTTGATGGCATTTGAGCATAGAAGCAGATGTGGATCATTTTGCATGAGTGTCAAGCACTAAGAGACGTTTATTGGAAAATCTGCAAGACATCATCAGTGCTCTTCTGGATTTATTCAAAGGCAACCAGAGGGATGTAAAAGTTCTCAGATAAATGAAAAATGTAAATATGAGATGTTAATGGTTGTAAGTTTTTATAGCGATATTAAAACGTTTTATTTTTCTTTGTTCACTCACGTGTCTGACTATTGAAACCATAACTGATACATTATATACAACTCATAAACCAGAACCTCTTATTGCAACACCAATTCCTATTACAATGAACTGCAAAACAGAAGAGTAACTATACATGTTACTCCACACTATACATTAACTGTTATGGGATTTATACTACTATATTTGGATTACTATGCTACTATATACAGAACTACAGTGTATGCATCCTGTATGTGTTTGTCTGGTCACTGTACTATGTGTATTATGTCAGCATGTGCTCCTCTGGTTATCATATACTGTGTATGTGTTTCCATCATTTACCAAAAACAGATTTCACCTGCCCTTAACTGGTTGTGTGACCAGAATTGTCTCAGTTCACAAGAAACCGTATAGTGCCACCTGCTGGTTGATATTTGAACTAAAAGAAACAGCAGACCAGTCCCACCATCCAGCCTCTGGATGGCACGCTTTTAAGGAACTGATGGAGGGCAGTGATTGGTCAGTGACACACAGCATATTTTCCTCACTGTAGTATGTTAAACAAAACATGAAGTCGAAACAGCTGAAATATCTTCTGAGAATCTTCTGTTTTTAAACATCTGAGACACTTCCCACAATCAATATGCTGTGTGTCACTGACCAATCACTGCCCTCCATCAGTTCCTTAAACATACTAAATTTAAACCCCAGATAAGTGCAGTTTCTTTTACAATACACTATCGATGGGACTTAATAGTGTATTGTGTTCAATAAAACCCCAACAATACACTCTGAATCCACTTTTTGGAAATTATTTTGACCTTTTTTTGAAGCAAATGTCATGCTTTGTTTCAGTTAGCCCACATACTGTATATTAGGCCTCCACAATAGTTAAACCTGAATATTATGAATACATGTATTTGAGTGAGTGAGTAAGCCCAGCACTGAAATGCTCGCTTTAGCGTGACTAAAGCGACCTCTTTTAAATCTCTTTTAGTATTGAATAATTATACTGTGTTATATATCATGATCATTAGGCCACAACTGGTACTGTTACATCTTTACATTGGCATATTTTCACAGTCGTAAAGTCTCATGGTCCATTCAGCTGTCCTGAGCCTCCAGTTCGGTCTAAATGAAGGAGGATGATGTTGGTGAGCACTGCTGGCAGACGGCCAGTAGCAGCATAATGTAACCACCCAGGGTGAGTGTCCAATAACAGACCTTTTTGCACAGCCTGTGGTCAGACCTGCATTAAATCATACACAGTGTCCATGCTCCAGCAACACACAGACAGTCACAGACTCAGGCTGTCCGAGGGGCAGAATGTATGGCATGGATATAATGCACAGTATTTTCTCCACTGAAAAGCCACTCTATAGGGCACTTTATCTTGATTTTTCCACTGGAATGACACCTTAGAGGAGTGGACAAAACATGATAACTTCCACTGGAAGGGCACCCTATGGGGTATTTTAGCATGTTTTCTCCGCTGGAAGGGCACCCTATAGGGCATTTTATCAGGTTTTCTCCACTGGAAGGGCACCATATAGGGTATTTTATCATGTGTGTTGTCTCCACTGGAACGGGAAGCCTAGAGGGCATTTTATCAGGTTTTATCCACTGAAAGGGCACCTTAGAGGAATAGAGAAAACATGATAACATGATCATGTTTTCTCCACTGGTAGGGCAGTGACACTGCTGCGTTTTGCTTCCCCGAGTCCACCGGTGAACACAAACACAAGCTTTTTCAAGCCAGGCAGAACTGGTCTTTGATGCACTTCATCAACATGTTCATCCTACATGTCTTATCGAAATGTGTTGAATAACTCATCTGTTTTCTGCTGCAGGCTAAGCTCTGAAACCTGCAGGAGACGTCAGAACCACTGCCAGTTTTCGCTCTGTGTCACCAGATCTTGACTCACTCACCAAAACTGGCACCAAGGTGGTAGAGTGAGTCAGAAGACTTAAGATCTGCTCCAGTGTTTCTAGGCAGGAGAGTAAATCCCTGCCAAATCCAGTTCTGCTTTCTAGCTGTAAACAGGTAAGGTATTGCATCAACAACCACAATCACCAAAGGGAGTGGCAGATGTTTCTTAATTTTTAAACTAAAACATGGATATATTTAGTTATATCTGGTCAATTTTGAAGTAAAAGTATTTTGTGCACTTTTATCAGACATCTCTAGAAATTACATTCAGGTATTAAATAACACATAAAACAAGCAATTAGTAAACATAAGTTACCCTCAAGTTGCAACACTTAATGTTACCATTTACCATGTAATGCCAAGTGGCCACTGTGTTTTTTTAAAGGAGGACAGAAGATTGCCCTTCCTCAAATTAAAGCTTCTTTTTCTACAGAAGACTGGTAATCTAATTCCCATGGATGAGCTGTCAGTGGAAAAAAAAAATTGTAATCCATAAAATATCAACAACAACAACAAAATGTGATTTGACTTTAAAGTAGGGAAGGTAATTCAGAGTGGACTACCAGGAGTATACATGTGCTTTAAATAAAGCTAATTTTGTCAAAACAGACAAACAAATTACTGCTTAAAACAAAAAAGCTTTTAATAGCTTTTTCATGATCTAATGTGATGACCCCTCCCACTCTGTCAGAGGGTCCTCACATAGGCCAGTGATTATTCTCATTTCTGCTGTTATTGCAATGCTGGAAACAAATAATTAAAAAGCATCATTTACTGCCACTTTTAGGGTAAAATACTCAGCTTATATTATATTTTTAATCATATATGTGTCTCTCTATTGATCATCCTTCTTGATTTAAGGTAAGCTCTATTTTTCTATCAGTCACATCAAATTAAGAAGATTTTTTAAAGCTGTAATCAAACAGGCAAAACTTTTTTAATGCACCATAAAAAAACAAAAACAAACAACAAACACATGACTGTACCATGTCTGTCACGCAGGGGTAATGGTGTAAAGTTTGGGCAAAGTGTAAAAAACTGTAAATCATACAGATCTCTCGTTATATTTACACGCACAGCGGTGACACATCTGCTTTTAGGGGTGTTTTCTGACCTGCTTTTACTGCTTTGAGTGTATAAACCCGAGCTTGGTCCCCGGACGGCTGAATAGAGTAGAACAATCCAGAGAGAGAGAGAGACAGAGAGAGGAGACAGAGAGAGGAGAGAGAGAGACAGGAGAGACAGGAGAGAGACAGAGAGAGAGAGAGACCCAAACACACGGTTAGCAGACAACTATCAAACAACGGCGGCCTGACAGCTAATCTAAGCTGCACAAATTACCCCCTACCGGTAAACAATGTGACCAAGTGAGGAGGGGGACACCGCGGCGAGGACTGTCAGAAAACACATGACAACCAACTTCGGTTGCCTTGTGAGCGGCGCACCATGGAATCTCAGCCGAGGTAGGGAGACCCAAACGCGGCCACCGCCGCCGCCGCCACCGCCGTTAGCTCGCTCGCTAGCCGCTGGGGCGCTAGCTTCACAGCCTGCCTTGCCTGGATAGTTAATTAGCTTTAACACACACACACAAAAAGTGTCTTTTAATTAAGTGAAAGTTTTAGTGTGAAACCTCCTGTGACTGTATCAGGAGGATAGTGTAGTTTTATGTTTAAAAACTGACGTGCAGGTTGTTGTTGTTGTTGTTTTTTTTAGCTTGATAAGCACTTCGAGGAGGAGGTGGAATCAGCTGGAAAGAGCAGGCTGATGGGATTTTTTTTTTTTTTTTACCTGCTCTTTGAACAGGGGCTGCTGTGTTTATACACGATGTTTTGTGTTAGTTTACGTGTTCATTTATCGTCTTCCGTCGCGTTTGACTAACTTGGATAAGTTGGACAACAGCGGAACTCAGGAAATGGAGTTTAAAAAAAAAAAAAATCGCATTAAAATACACTGCAACCAAATTAAACCGCTTAGAAACATCAACATGCAACTTAGTCTTAATCAGGCACTATTATTGTTACCATTTACTTATATAAATATGTGGCTTTGACTCTCTTGCAGACTGCTCAGTTAAATGGCAGCTTCAGATTTATTTAAAGGGAACTTTTACAGATAGAAAGAACTAACTACAAAGTGAATCTGGGCGTGTTTTTAAAAGTTTTTTTTTAAAGGCAAATAAAAGTAGATATGCAAACCAATGCTGCCTGGTATCACATGCATTGTCAGAGCATTGCCTGTATATGAAGAAACAGTATTTCTTCAGTTAAATATGCATTAAGGGATAGGTCGATATACAATGATACACTCAGATTAATTTATTGTGGTGAATTTCTACTATCACATGACTAGATAAAGTTGTTTAGCTCGCCAGCAAGCAGTCAACAGTCTGTTGTATCTCCCACAAATAAAAGTTGATGTGTGGAAATAAGTACAGGACCCAAAATACAGAAATAAAGTAATAAATATATGTGCTTCTTGACTAAATGTAACGTAGGTAAGTGCCAAGTATATTTTCAGGAGTATCGTGATAATATCGTGTCGCAGTTCTCAGACATTTCCATATTGTCTCATGCCTAATATGCATAGGGAAAGTGTGTGCACTGGCAGCAAAACTGTTCCACAGAAATGTGTTTATCAGTTTTGGAAAGAAGAGCATCAAAAATGTTCAATCGTAGCAGCGAGGGACCTTTTTTAAAATATATATGTTTGTACCTGTTTCATCACAAAATGAAAATCATTACAGGAAATATATTAAAATATATATAATTGACATTTTTTGACCACAGTAACCAGTGTACACATTTGTGGATGTGAAGATTGGAGACAACCGTGTTGATTATTTTTTTGTCCAGCCAACTCCAAACCCCAAAGATATTCAGTTTCAGTTATATGATTTACTATCATTTATATAAATCTCTCAATTGAGATCAAATTGATTTTCAAATAGTACATTTGTTGTTTATCGTCTGACTGTTGGTGTTCTAGTATATTTGCAGCTACTCAAAACATTGAATTTTCCGAAAGCACTCTGTGGAAACCCCCAAAGACGTCACTTACCACGTCACTCCCAGGTTGCCTCTCGGTCTCAGTGGCCTTCGGGGGTCCTGTCGTTGTTAAAGAGGAGATACTGAACCAGGAACCCTCACCTCCTCTGTGCTCATCTGTGTCGGAGGCTTTGCATCTATAAACATTGTGTTTTGACAGTCCAAGGCAGCTTTTTAAGTTATTTAGAAACCAAGAGGTGCATAGAAACTTTCAATGGCAAAATAAAAAGAGTGAGAATGTCACTGTTTAGCTTTTTGTATTGGTAATTTTATCGGGTTGTTCGTGTGGTTCTGCATCAGTTGTGGTTTCTTTATATTTGAGAAGGTTTTCAAATGTGTCAGACTTGGGTTGCACTGATTCTGGGCCGATACAGATGTTTAAAATAACAATGTGGCCGATTGCAGATGCCGTTACTGAGGTTTTTGTTATTGGTTTGCCCTGTTGTGACAGGGAAACAAAATCATCTGCAATGATAAGCATATCTTCCTTGTTGCAGCCGAGTCTATTTCCCTGATTACCTAAGATGTGAGACGCAGAGCTGAACAGCCGCTCACTGTCCGCGCTGCTCAATTAAGCACATCGGTATTTGCGTGCAATTTGTGCCACTGCTGGAAAATGGAAGTGATTATTCTCCAATAAACAGCCAGTGCAAAATTGATGGGACACAACAGATAAACATCGGCCACTTATATCTGTGAATACCAGTTATTTGCCGATACCAGTCAGACATTTGACAGGATAGCTCGATTGACTGCAGTCACACTCTAATAGTGCGATTGAGATATGATTAATGATTACTGGGACTGATCATTATTGCGTCACGACTTTAAGTTTCACAAAAAAACAAAACAAAAATGTTTTCTTACAGGTAGTAACAAGATTTGTAGGCCAGGGAATCTCTGCAGCTCTACCGTACTGCATTATAATATAATATATATATATATATATATTTGACACACATTTTTACCTTTTATACCAAAAAAAAAAAAACTGCAGCTCTTCATGATTTGGATATTGCACTCCGCCATACTGTGATTTCAATAATATTGCGATTAATTGTGCAGCACTAAAGTGGGGTTACCGCCTGCCCCTGTGTGGGTGTGCATGATTTGTGTCCACTGTGTAGCCACTCTCTGAATCAGAATAATGTGCTTTCCTGAATAAGCAAAGTATGTTTTTCACTAATGGAACTGTGCCGTGCAGGATTTTCTGTATAATCTATATCACTGACAAAAAAGCTGGGATACGTTGCCTCCTAAAGCTCGATGAAGTGTCTACTTCTTCTTCTACTACATTGTTAAATCTTCTGTTTGTATTCTAGTGTCCTGGATGCTGCTTGAAACTGTGAATTTCCCCTTGGGGATCTATCTCTACTTCCTGTTTCAGCTTCAGAACTGCTTCCTTGTTATGGGTTGTTCTGTGATGTGGACAAGTTGTCATTTCACCTTTTTATTAAACAGTGAATCAGTTTCTGGCATTTGTCGTCTGTGATTGGTAAAGGTGTACCTCTCTCATTCACCTTGGCAGAAGGCTCTACAAAGAGGGCACAAGGTGCAGAAGAGATTTGCCTCCCAAACTGCCAACAGGGGCAGCCAGACTGCTTAACATAGTTGACATTGGTCCAAAGAGGTTAACTAGAGTGTTTGTGCAGATGTCACTAACTATTAAATGATTAGAGGTTGACTGAATCTATTGAAGAAAGTTTATGTTCCAGCCTTATCAATAATTCAGCCCCTGATACTGTTCTCAGGAGCTGTTTCTAATTATGTAATTATTATCTGTAAGGTGGTTGTGTCTAAATGTCATACAGAGCAGCACTGATGTACAGCCTGTGACTGGGCAGTGCCAGTTTGTGCTGTACTAGTACTTTGGCCAGTCTCTCTGCTTAATTAATGGGTAAGTGCTCATCTGTTTGGCTTAGTCCCAAATCTGTACTGCTCCACTTGTTGCCATGGATGCATCCCACTGGGGTTGCTGTGGATGATCCACACTGTATTTTGGGAAGAAAACCACAAAATGGCAACATGTTGATAACTGTTCAGTTCACTTTAGTATATTAAAAGTATTAAAGGGAGGCCTGATCCCATGGAGCCTGCTGTTGTTCCACAATGTAGTATTACTATAGTAAACAAGGTTTTTTCTGCCATTGGCATCATATGAGGACTAGTAGTCATAATCATCCATTTGATGTCTGCATGGGCTGCGTGCCATCTTTAGGGACTAGAGACAACAGATGTGAATGTTGCAGTGAATCCTCGTGGCGTCTGTGAGTCTAATTACAGTTGTCTGTAGATATGATGGGCACTTTCTTCTCCCATTAGACACTGCTGCCGTCCCCGGGGTAGATACGTCTGTGATAAGATGCCATAAATTTGCAGTCTCTGAATTTTCTGATGTCTTTAGCCAAAACTGATTTTATCATAAGGATCAGTCACATTCATTGTTCTGAGGTTTAAAATGTGTTTAAAGGCATAGGAAATCGCAAAAAACAGAATACAGATGTAAAGAACATGCTGTATTTTAATCTCCTTCAGTAGTGGAGTATGTCATTAATAGTCTGATGGAGGGAGTCAAGCTTTAATTTTGCCTCTTTACCCCTGGCATTTAACAAGGTAATTGTATTTACCGTTACAGGTGAAATGATGCACTTGTAAATGCAATGCTGATTTAGGATCTGTCTTTCTTTTGTACCGTTCTACAGTGTATACAACGAGGAAAGGAAACTTCTTCGCCTCCGAGCATGGGAACAGAGGAACCAAGAAACAAGCCAAGCCAAAGAACTCAACCCTGAGAATGTGCCACTCTTTGGGGAACCATACAAGGTAAAGACTCGCATAGTGGGAGTGAAATGTTCAAATCATATAACACTGTCAGTTAGCCTCATGGGAGTGTAGCCTCTTAACAGGACTTGTACTGTAGTCTTTATGGATAGAGATATGCTTAATGTAGTAATGGTTCGATACCATAACAGTGTGGTGCGTGGGGGATCTCAACAAAGAAGGTGCTCTTTTACAAGTACTACAAGTAAACATCATTAGGATACGGTGAAAAAAATGTTAAATGATATTTAAACAGTTTTCAGACAAAGGCATAGGGTTAGCTTCAGAGGTCAGTCTCAAAAAGGCCATTTCCAGCATTTAGCTGTACTCATTTACACCATTTTAGCAAATAATAGACTATGATGGAATTGGTTATTGTGCTTTCCATAATAATCATATGTAAATTGTTGTATTATAAATGCATTAACCCTACTTAAAATCCTTGATAGAGCATTTGCATCTTTACTACAAAGAGCCCCTTCTGTTGTATCTTTGATTGAAGAGAAATTCCTGCATCTTTTTAGGATAATATTAACTGTAAATAAAAATGTGTTTAAAATTTTTAGATATATTATCATAAAGACATGTTTTCAGTCTTGAGTAGTGTCTGTACTCTTCCTCTGAGGCTGCGAATGCCCCCAACAGCCTCCACACAGTGAATAAGATAGGGCAGCCTGTCTGTAAATGCAAGAAGGATCAGTGAATCACTTGCTGCTGTTCGTAAATCCTAATTACTGTAAGTGCAGTTTTTGTGAGCGGATGATAATATTTGAAGCCGACTCGGATGAGAGCATCGACTGTTTTATAAACTCCTCTCTTTCTCACGTAGACAGTCAGAGGACACTGTTGAGAGAGTAAATCAAACTGAAACTACAGATGTTGGCAGGACAAAAATAGCATTTTGAAAAGGTGATATCCCACCCCCGCGGGAAATTAGGCACTTGTTTGCAGAAAACACCCAAATCTTTGCTTTGAAAATCCTTTCTTCAAATATTAATATGTTTTTGACAATCTTTATGATGGCAGTTTATAAAGATTATATTATTATATTTCACAAACACTTGAAAATAAGACTTGTTGTGTTTTTGTTTCAAATAAGCTGTTTATATCTACTGAACCAATCTAGATAGGCCCTTAAATGCCACTAAATCCTACAAACTGGTCCTTTAAGATATTTAGTTCAGTGTAATTAAGTTTAAAAGATTAAGATTATTTGTAAAGTGAGATATTTATCCTCTGTTAACTTATTGTTTCTACCTTCTTTTTTGTAGACAAACAAAGGGGATGAGCTTTCCAATCGAATCCAGAGGATGCTGGGCAATTATGAAGATGTGAATAATCCCTATCCCGTTGCAATTGAGCCGTTAGCCATTCCTACTTGTGTAACCTTCTCACAGTCAGATCAAGGTCAGCCAAATTCAGATAAACCAACCAAACCTCCATTCCATAACCAGATCCAGTCCACCCAAAGTCAGAGAACCCCTTCTAGTAACGGTTACACCTCTCCGCCCATGAGGACATCCACTGCTTCACTTTCTCCTAACCACCACCGACATTCATCCGCTTCCTCGAATGCGTCTTTGAACCACAGTCAGCTCATCCACTCAGCACATCAACAAAAGAAGAGTGAAGCCCACTCAGATCTCAGGGAGCGTGTCAGCCTTTCCCAGGAAATGTCTTCTCAGTCTCCTGATGCTAAGCCACTACCCTTCCTGCGTTCCAGTGACCATGATAACACTGACATGGACACTAAGGACACCTTTGATAGACATCCGCTTCAAGGGTCCACGGATCCCCCCCCTGAGTCCGCCAGCACCGTGGATGTTTCCACCTTTAACCTGAAACAGTCCCCCAAAGATGCGTCGCTGCCTCAAGCCAACAAGGGTAACTCACTGCCCTCCCAGACCTTCCCTTCACTCCTGTCGTCTAAGCAGCCCAGCGTTGTCATGACGCAGAAGCCCACAGCGTATGTGCGACCCATGGATGGTCAGGACCAGGTGGTCAGCGAGTCACCTGAGCTGAAGCCTTCACCAGAGCCATATGTGCCTCTACCGGAGTTAATCAACAAATCTGACCTGGGCAAAGCGAAGATACTGCCTCAGTTTTTGGAGGTGAGTATATTGTCTTGAATCTCATAACTGTAATATGATGTTTTGGTTGTTGGATTTTGGTAAGCTAACCCGCTGCAGGCTGTTGCTTCATATTTAGCATTCAGACTGGTATTGATCTTCTCATCTAACTCTCAGCAAGTAAGCAAATAAGTGAGTTTCCCACAATGTCAAACTATCCCTTTTAATAGGAATATTTGCTGAGAGAGCTGATATACTGGCGCCATTTCCAGGTCAGCCATGACCTCAGTCTGTCAGGCTGACAGTTAAACCCAAAACAGTCTGGGGCTTGTGGGAAGTGGTGTTTCTTTAAAGCCAAACAATATTACAAAGAAATTACTATCCCGAGACTGACAAATGGAGTGAACCACACGGCACACTGTTGAGCAAGGTTATGTTGCAGGGCTGGATTTTTAGTAACATTCATTACTACAAATGTGGGTGTGATTCTTTAATTAAATGTTAAATTGTGGTGAAGAACCTGGAAGTTCCAGTTTTACTGTGGCTCTCCGTAAACAAATACAATCAACTTGTTTAACGTTAGTCCACTGTTAAATATAAAGACGTGGATCTTATTATTTTTCAGCACAGTTGTCTAGGCTTTGAATAATATACTGCACTATGATCTAAGAGGATTGTGTGTCTCCTGATCTCAGGATGTTCTCTGAAACCGCTCCATAGTTGTGATTTTCTTGCTTGACTGTTCAAGCGTTCAGGTAGGACTTTCTTTGTTTGGCAGAATTTGGCTGAACTCCAATTCAACTCTCTTCATCTGTTCTCTGTCACACATAAACACACACAACCCTTGCACCTGCAGCACTCCACACCTCCCCCTTACCCTCCTGCAGCAGCACAAAAGTGCTGAATGTGCTGCTGTTTCCACTGCTGGGATTTGTCCAATGCAGGATAGCAAGGCAGTTACTCATTCCCGTATTTCTCACCAACGTTTCACTCCTCCAAGTTCCACATGTTTGGATATAGTATACTCAGAAATGTCCATTTTATTTCTTAAGAAGCATTTTACACTAATGTGTTATTCCTAACGCAGGTCAATACAAAGGGTGTCATGGGTCAGAAAGCAGACTTCTTTGTGCACACACAGTCACAAATTCTCCAGACCTCTGCACTGAAGGTCCTGAAGTGCTAAACACAACATTTCATGTAGGAAATAAACAAAAGAGAAAACACAATGACATTTCAGGAACATCATTTTAGGAGATGGAAGTTGTAGTTGTTTTGTGAAATGTTGTGTTTGTGTTTGTTTTTTGCACTTGTAGCAGTATACCAATATTATACATATTGTTATCATACCTTCTATATTGGCGTATCAACGGTTTTGATTTCTAGTGCAACCAAATAAAAAAACCTTCTGTTTCTATTCCTTTAAGGATCATTGTAACTGATAAACATAACTGTGTAATACATTATACAATGAAGCTGTGATATTTTCTGAATCTGTTATTGTACATCAATCTCATTTTGTTGCAACCCTAACTACACTGCTCTTTGTATCAGCTGAATTTGAGCATGTGTTGTCATGTCTCACTCAGGTGCGTAGCAAGGTGTATGTGGCAGGCAGGCGGTGGTTTGTGTTTTGTGTGTGTGTGTGTGTGTGTGTGTGTGTGTATGTGTATGTATGTATGTGACCTCAGCTGCCTCTGATAACTTCACCCCTGGGCTCAGCAGAACAATGAATGAGCTTTGTCACCAACTTACATAACTGCTCTGGGGGCCCATTCACTCTGACCTTATCTCAAACACTGTTCATTCAGAAAACTGAAAGACAGGACTGATAACAAACTGAGTATTTATCTGATGTTGGGGTTGGCCTATGTGGCTGCCTGATACGTGGTATTGCGTTACTCATCCAGTGCTTGAGGGTGTGGTTAGTGGGCATGTACAGTGCAGGACTGCATTATAGTGATAGTTGCTTGTTATGTTTTGTCCACCCCCATTTTCTATAAGGGAGGAAGAGTATATATGTTCACATATAGGGTGCAAGATCTCTAAGTTGGCCTTTTTTCTTCTCTGGATGGAGACTTTTTCTGTGCTTACAGGCTTATAACACAAAGATTAAAGTTGGTGTTTTCAATATTTTCCATTACCATCTTTGCCAACCCTCCCAATTTTCCTGGAACATTCCTGTTGTTTATTGCCCTCTCCTGGTTTCCTCCCAGGGTCACAGTTCTCGTGTATTTCTCCGGATTTGCGTTATATTTTCACTGTACGATGTGTAGAACTGGTGAAATACATTGGACACAGACTCTGTTTGCTGCTTTAGTTGTTTGTAATGATGCGCTCTGCTGCAGGGCATGCTGCGGCTGCTGTTTCCTGGCATGCACTTAAAGTGGAAGAGAGTTCTCACAGGTGCTCAGAGGGCAGTGGGGTGCACTGACTCTCTAAGGGACAGGGGTAAAAGAATGAATGAATGAATGGAAATTGAAGAATATTAAATGATGCCAAAGATTCATGCCAGAGGGGCTGAATTATTCCATATTCCTTCCTGTGAATTAAAAATATTTAACCCCCTGACCGACCTGGCCAGGCAACAGGTCGACATACATCAGAGGGCGCAGAACCATTAAATTAGCAAAATAAATATAATATTTGCCAAAAAACTCATCACAGATAGCCAGTGTATTCATTCAATCACCCAACCCTACTGTCAAATACTCTTTCTTTACTCTAGAGCCTCTAAACAAATATTTTTATTTGCTCTTCATGTTATAATTGCATACAGGTTTTTCATGTTTTTTTGAAAACTCACAATTATTCATTTCCTTTCTGCAGACAAGGACAAATGAAGCTCAATGTGTTGAGGACATCTTGAGGGTAAGTCAAGCTTTTTAAATGCTCATACAGTTGGTATGGGCTTATTTACATGTTACATTTGAGTTCCAAACATATAAACTGCTTGTTTACACATCTGTATCTATATCTATATCTATATCTATATCTATATCTATGATAACTCACTCACATCAGCGTTGCCCACCCAAATACCTGTCTCTCTCTTTTCTACATCCTGTATACTCTTTTACTCTTAATAAGTAGATGTTCAGACTACTGCAGTTATTGTTGCTATAGAATTCTAGTTATTAAAATTTGGTGCGTTCTAAATTTGGAAATAAAATTTTCCATGAACTGCACAACAACTCTGATTGCACAACAAAGTGGTGCACAAGTCACACTGTCTGATTGATCGTTTGTGGGGAGTAAGTGTATTCTGCCAAATTGTGATGAGAGCATTCAGCGGTCATGTTGAATTTCTGTAGCTGTAACTAAATTTGACTGTTCATGTTAAATTTTCAAATCAGTTCTTTCAGAAGAACAAACCCACACGTTTCCAGTTGCTCAACAATCCTACAAACTTGAGCAACTGCCGATAATCTTTTTTTATCAACTTTCTTACAATAGTCGTCTGCTCACTGTGTTTTTTGTGTATTTTCAATTGTTCAGTCGCCTCACAGCTAAACTGAGTTTCCAAAGACCACCATGTAGGCCACTGACATGTGCTGGGGAAAGAATGAAAAACTCAGTAATGTACAATTTCAAAATAAAAATGTTATTCCTCAATTATTTCCTGACTCATTCCAAGATATTCCTTCATATACATTATCCACAGTAGCAACAAACAGTGGCAGCAGCCTGACACAGACTTTAGTTTATTAGGTATTTATTGTAGTAGCATTCTTGAATGGGTATCAGAGGCTCTAATGTGTAAAAGGAACTTTTACTATTTTACTATTCTTCACACTATTGCTCTGCCACCAATGGCCTGTAATGTTAAACGGACTTGTGTAGCTTGAGCCTTTGTTTAGAATGATGCAAAAGTAAAATATTCATTCAACTCTGATGAAGTTGGATGTCTGGTTGTGGCCTGTCTGTTTCTTGCTATTCTTATTTGAGCCCTTTTATCCACACGTTGTTTGCATCCATAGGATTACCAATATTAATACTATTTGTTTTTCACACATCTGCCAGTAAGCTCATGACTGTTGTTTTGGAGATGCTAGAACCAGTTTGAACTTCGTATCATACTTGGCACTAGCCAAAGTTACTGAGGTCACTAATTTAGTCAATTTTTCTAATTTAAGTTGTCGGTTATGTGGGATTTTTATGACAGGTAATCAGTTTAATACAAAATGTTCAGAATGTTCGGCCAAAATTGTAGTTATTCTTTTTAATAAAGGCGATCAGTTTTCATTTAAATGTAAAATGTGAGGTTCTTATTTGGCTACTTCTGGGTTATCTCAGAAAATACATGCATGTTTCCATGTGTCTTGGGAAACCTGGAAATTTAAGGGACTGATGTTCCAGTCATGGAAACACTTGGAAATTGAATAAAAGGACCAAATATCCTGGAAATAATCTGTTTTCCTGGATATATAATTGTTTTAACCCCTCAGAATGACTGAAACTCGACAATTGGTAGGATAAGCTGCCTGGTATGAATGTTCAAAGCAGGTCTACCAGCCATTAAGAAAATTAAAAATGACATGACCCTTTGTGAGAGAAGTGCTGCCCTGTATTCTCAAGAAAAATTCCTGGAAAATGGCCTGGAAAGGTCCTGGAAAAAGATTTCTTAGAGTGACAACCCTGATCACATTTATTCCCCTCCACAGGAAATGACCCACTCATGGCCCCCTCTCCTGACAGCTATACACACACCTGGCACTGGTGAACCCTCCAAGCCCCTGTTCCCAGCCAAGGTAAGAGCTTAAAGATTGAGAATTATTTATTTGTTGTAGCTGATGTGAATCTTCAAAAAAGTTATAACCTCTCTAGTGCAAAAATCCCTCTCTGATTTTGCCAAATTAAGGTTAATTTCTGTGTCGTGGTGGAGGGATACTCACTGACAGTCGAGGGTTGGCCATAATTAATCATTTACATTTTTGGACGCTCAATGAGCTTTCCTCCTGAGGTCACATTGTTGGCTACACAAGTACTGAACTCGCGTATGGCTGAATTTCTGTTCAATACACTATGGACCCTTATTTGAAAATACAACTTTCATTTTTAAACACACTGATATTTCCTCCACCATCAAGTTTTCTCATTTATACACAGGATATCTTGTAGTGTACAATTACCAGATGACCATGCAATTTGAGGAGAACCTTCATCTTAAGATATATTTTGATTTAATGGCCTTTTTTCCAGTTTTTTCATGGCCAAAATCATGAGCAAAATCAGTCAAAAGTGATCAATTTAGCGTAAATGTAGATGCAATTGTACAAATCTTAACCAAGTTTGACCCAGATTAAATAACTTGCTTATTTTTTCTCACAGGAAGCAGAGCATGTCTCTTCACATCCAGGACAAAGTGAGTAATGAGGGAATGAATTCATTTCAGGCACAGAAAAAGGATAAACATCATAATAAATATAAATATCTGTGATTGATGTTGATAACAGGCAGATCTGTGTCATCATAAAGCATCTGCTATATAACCTGTAGATATTTATTCATCTTCTTCTCTTTCCTACTCGTCATCTCTTCTACTGGTCTTTTTCGTCTTCTTCTTTTTCTCTTTTTCTTCCCTGTTTCTATGGCAACTTGTACGACCACTTTTGCCTAGTTTCGTGAACTGGCCACAAAATACCAGAGGGGGGAAACAACCCTACAATTTTAGCTCAAATTAGTCTCCGCTAAGAGGAAGAGGCAGTCGTGTAGAAGAGAGGAGGAGTGATCTCTGACTATTCTCAGACCCTCTCTTTTACTGATGTAAAATGCTGTTGTTATTAATCGACCAGCTGTTGTAGCTGAGCATAAAAATTTCATATCAAGAGTTACTGTCTGTTTGACCAGTTATTATCTCACTCACTTGTTTTTATCGTATGCTTTGTGGCTGCACTGGCTATTATATACATGACAAATATAGTGTGTGTCTGCTGTGTGTTTTATTAAAAAATACAGTGAAAAATGAAACAGGTGTGGAATTTAGGAACGTTTTGGGAAAAATCTATATGATGATCAAAGACACGAATGATGTGGATATCCAAATTAATTTAGGACTTAACTACTAACTTATAAAGTGTAGTAACAGTTAATCTTTTCTCCTGGAGATGTAGCTGCATATCACCTGTATTTGTTTCCCTTTTACCACAGATTGTAAGTATCAGTTGTAATAAAGCATGTGCTTGTATAATGGCGTCAGGGAGCAAACAGCTCTTGGGGCTGATAAAGGCGTCACTTTTGACTGGAGGTTAGGTTTTAAAAAGTTTGGGCTTTCTATTGTTTAATAAGTTATAATAATTTTTTTTTTTTTAAAAAAAAGCTCAGCTGCAGTGCATGAGAGCCAAATCCATATTGGTGTGAGTATTTTTTATCAATTATGTGTACTTGTGTTGTTTCTAATGTTGGACTAATGTTTGTTTCCTCTGTTGTTTGTTTTTCAGAAATCTATAACTCCTCTCCTGCAGATCCATCTCAGCACATCCAGCAGAGCTCCTCATCGTAAGTGACTTTTCATTCATGGCGTTAAACTGGACTGTAAATTGCCAAGGACCGATTAAAAAAAACTGCTGAACTTGGAAAAGATTCATTGATTTTATGCAGTTAGACAAGCTGGTTTTCAACAAACTCTACAGTCATTGCCGATAAAAGATACTGTTACAAATATTTTCTATTAGGGCTGCAACTAACAATTATTTCCACCATCAGTTCATCTGCAGATTATTTTCTTGATTAATCCTAAAGTGCCTCTGACTGAGAAGTGTGTCATCTCCAATTTAAGGCAGGAAATTATGTCGCAAAGTCACTAACACGCTAAGTGTGGGCAGGGCAGCATCCTTCCATTTGTTTGGCCAAAAGTGAGCCAAAGGCAAACATGAAAGAAAAAAAAAGAAAAGAAAAAAGTCTCCCATATTTGTCTTCCTCACACACAATGTTTACCAGTGCAGGCTAGGCATGTGGGCCACAATGTTTGTTGTTTAATTATAACTGTAACACTTGTGTGTAATATTATTGTGGTGTTTTGTGTGTGTGTGCGCTGTAGTTTATTTGAAGCAGCACATTCCAGAGGGGTAGAGTCCGCCAGCTCCAGCGACTCAGAGAGTAGCTCCAGATCAGAGTCGGACAGTGAAAGCACCACGGAGGAACCACCTCAACCGCCAGTGAGCAACTCCATTAAATCAGAGGTAATTCCTGCTTGTCATTTTTGTATATGTAGAACGAAGATCATAAACATACATGCTCTGAAATGGTTTGCTTGTCCTCATTCATTAATTATTATTTTCTTTTTACAGCCTGATGCTCCTGCAGTGACCCATGTTGACTGGCAGTTGGGGAACTGGATCAGGTCCAGCCAGCAGAGCTCCAGCACTGAAAGTCATAGCAGTGCACAGGCCTCTGTGAGCCCCGCTCACAAACAGCCACCGCCCACTCAAAGCACCAAGCACTCCAGTGTAGAGGTGATCGCCCCCACCAGGGAATCTAAACCTCCGCTTTCTCCTCTGCAGAAGGAGTTCACCGATAGCCTTGGAAAACCTCAGCAGTACCGTGAAGGCCCTCAGGACAACTATAACCAGCAAAGTAGCCAAATATCCCCCTCTGCTGATTTGAACACCTGTAGCAGGAAACTCTCATGGACCACGAACTCCTTGAAACCAGCGAAGGCAGGTTGCCCAGATCGCACTGAAGCAGCTATCGGCGTGAAGTGTGAGGAAGTTTTAGCCACGCGAGACAAAGACCCATGTTTCAAAGAGAGACCCAAGGTAAAGACGAAAACAGAGCGTAGCAAGAAAAGCAAGGACAGCAGTAACACTAAAAGAGACAGTAAGAGGATTTCTAAACACACATCACTTGACAAACGGAAGGCTGGATCAGAGACTGAAGTCCCACTGGTCCCGTACGGCCAGTGTCCATCATGTGGTGTGCGATATCCGAACCCCTGCTCCTGCCCCACCGAAAATCCTGCTCAGCCTGAACAGCTGTCTCTTGCCCCACCAGCTAGAATCAGTTGTAGAAAACCAAAGTCACAGACCATCTGCCAGAAGGGCACCAAGATTCCTCACAAAGCAACCCACAAGCACTCAGAGAAGACTGGGCACACAACCAAGAGTTCTCAAGACCCCCACAGGCCTCCGAGATCCCTGCTGGTGAAGATTGATCTAAGTCTGCTCTCAAGAGTCCCCCAGATCTCCGGCAACCGCCAGGATATACCTGGCAATGCAAAGAGATCAGCTTTGGTCATAGAGCAAGATGTTGGGGGCAATGATGCTTCTACAACACACAAACTCACCAAAACCAGCAAAAAGAGTATACCTCAAAATGTGAGAAATATGAAGGGCTGTTGTAGTTAACATATGTGTACATAATGAAAGTTTTTATTTTAATGTGTGTGTGATTTGTTACAGGTTGAGGTAGACAATAAAACTGTTCCCAGAAAGAAACCAAGGCTGGAAAACAAAAATACCTCCTCAAGTCATCCTTCTGTCAAACTGGAGTAGGTGTCCCGTACTTCTTTTCACCAGAGATAACATTAACATATTTTTAGTATTAATTGTTGTATTTAATATTAAATGTTGTATTGTAATCAAGATTTCTGCCCTTATCACCTACAGAAGTTCCAGCAATTCAACAGAGGACTGGGAGCAAAAGATGGCCAAGAAAAATCCTGTTCCCTTGCAGCAGTCTCTGACACCCAAAGGCACCGCGAAAGACTCAAAGCTACACAAACGCATTTCTGGGGAGACCCAGGACACCAGTAAGGAGGCTGTAAAGAGCAAAGACTCAAGCAAGCACAAGAAGAGCAGCGGAAAGCACACAGAGCGCCCACACCTTGAAAAGGTGACTGTCAGGATATAAGCACCTAGTATCTGGATATTAAGTTGGTGCATGTTTCTTTTTACTAAATAAGCTTCTGCAGGTTCTCATAGTTTTAATGATTGTTGGCTTATTGATTCATTATTACATTAAAAGGGAAACCATTCCAATATTAATCAAATGTCTTCCCTTCAATCCTAGCAGAAGCCCCCAAAGAGCAGTCTCGCCATCCCATCATTTTCACAGCCCACCAGGGAAGTTTTGACCAACAGGCCCTTGCTGAGATTTGACGACAGGTAAAAATAATTTCCACTGAGCTGTTTTTTTTTTTTTTCTCTCCAGGAAATAGGAGGTTACAGGTTACAAGATTTCAGGTTGAGAGTTCTTTCTCCAAAGGAACCCGCTCGAAAATACAATTTTACACCAATTAACAGAAGGGCCCTTATCACTCGAGTGTTTCTTTGTAAAAGCTGAGATTGTTACAGACACAGATTTGTTTGCAGGAGAAATTAATTTGACCTTTTTTTAGTAAATGTAATGTATTGTTTGTTAAGTTTATGTTTCAGTAACTCTTTGTCATTAAGACTGGAGATTTTGGATAAAGCTCCTCATGTTTCGGAGTCAGTTAAAGACTTTTGTCACATGGTTACACTGGGTCTGAAAAGCAGTGATCTCAAAAAATCATGTCCTTTCAGTAATTGACAGGTGATATAATAATAAAGACATTATTGCTTAGTAATTTACCAGTCCAACAAAAACAGAGCAACATTTCCAGTAAGTATTTCCTCTGATTAAAATCAAATTGCTGTCAGTTTTAATTAAACATGTTAGTTGTAAATTGTTGTTACTCCTCTAATAAAGCTTCTTTCACCTGTAGGCCGTATCCGGTGAAGCATTACATAAAAGAAGCCAAAAAACTGAAGCACAAAGCCGATGCAGAGGTAAGTTTATCTTTGTTAACTTAGTAAAATGACTGCAGTCTACACAGTAATGCAAGTAACTTGTAACCATTTGTTTTTGCTCTCTCTCTCTCTCTCTCTCTTTCTGTAGTCAGATAAACTCATTAAAGCTTTCAACTATCTGGATGCAGCCATGTTCTTCGTTGAGAGTGGCATTGCCATGGAAAAAGATCCACAGATTTCAATGTCTTCCTACACTATGTTTGCAGAGACTGTGGAACTGCTCAAGTACGAACCCACTTTTATCATAAATCAATTGCACTATTAGTAGCTTTCTGTAATTATTAGTTTGCATGCATGCCAAGCCATAGAGTGCGGGGTAGACTCTTCCACCCTGCCAACGTCACAGACATTGAAATCTTTTTCTATATCTAAGTTAAAATTAAGATTTTGGCTCCATAACTGAATTTGATTCATGCATTAATTTAACTGCCACATTCTCCACCCTCACAGGTTTGTACTGAAACTTAAAAACTCAGTGGACCCCTCTGTTCCACCTTCAGAAAAGGACTTTTTAGCTTTATGGTAAGGTGTAGATGATACTTTATGTGCTTTGTGTACATGTGTTTTCTCCACAAACCAGTATGTCCCTAAAAAGACTTTAGTTAATAGTTTATTTCCTTTGAAACTAATGTGTAATTGATGTTAGAGAGATGTTGATGTAACTGCATTGTTTTTCTGGAGGCTGTAGATTTGTAAAACATTTATTATATTAAAATCAGTTGTTTTTGCTAGGCAACGCAGTGTTCACTAGTCTGTTCTTTGTTTTCTTTAATGAATCATGTGAAATGTGAATAACTAAATAACATTTGATTGTGTGTTGTAGTTTGAAGTGCCAGTCTCTCCTGCAGATGGCCATGTTTCGCCACAAACACAAAACTGCACTCAAGTATTCAAAGACCCTCAATGATCACTTCAATGTAAGTATTAACGTATTACAGTGACTCCTGTTTGCCAGTGTTATTGTTTTGTAATTATGTTTAGGTAATATCTAATTCACATAACTTGTAATTAAGTAGTTCAGCAGAAAAGGAGCACCTATACATACTTCATTTTGCTAATGAAATTTGGACCTCTTTCAGAACTCTGCTCAGAAAACACACAATCCTTCAGTCGTAACTTCAAAGTAAGTCATCTAGTTTGCATGTAACATTCACTGTTTGGGCATATTGCACGAAGCTGTCAAAGCTGTAACACATAAAAATACAAAACAAATAAAAATGTCTTTTTTTTCCCCCCTGTCTCCTGTAGAGTGACAGACACCCCGTCCCCCATGCCCAACATGCCGTCTCCAGCCAACACATCCACCAGCTCAGGTCCTGGCTCCAACCACAGCGGCAGCGGGTTGGTGGTGGACCCGGTCTGCAGCACCGTGGCCGTTCCCCAGGCCATTGAACAAGTGGCATTCACCTATGTCAACATCACTACGTTATTTTTGAGCGCTCATGACATCTGGGAGCAGGCGGAGGACCTGGCACAGAGAGGCAGCGGTAAGAATGGATAGCAAAGACACGCTGTTTACCAAACTTATATGTTAAATTACAATAATTAGGTTATCACCATTGCCGTTATTGCAGTCAGCTTCCACCAGTTAGGAATCCTTCAGTGTTCATTGTTTAAGCAACGATCAGGCTACAGGATTACAGCTTTGTTATATAAGTTGGAGTTGAAAATAAAGTGCGTTGCAGTAGTCAAGTCTGGAGGAGATAAAAGCATGGATGACCTCTAGATATGCAAAATGAAAGGAATGAGCTAATCTAGGTTAAATGTCTTAGTTGAAAACAGTCACTGCACTATTTTAGTCCCATGAACATCGACAGACAGAGATATTAGATAAGGCATCCAGACATCATAATCATGTGAGTGCTGGGGCCAGAGGGGGGTCATATTATGATGATGTGAATGTTTGGACCTCCAGTTCTTAATTTCAGAAAGAAAAGCCATCATGCAGGATACATTACACATGTGTTTGCAGTCACTCTTCAGATTTTGCATTTTAATTCAAGCCAGAAATTACTTTTAGGGTCCAGTGTGTAGGATTTAGTGGCAACTCGCTTCACCCTCCCCTTTCAAATGCAGAGAATCTACGCTGGCCATGAAACATGAACATCCCTTCCTACAGCCGCCGTTTGGTTTGTTTGTTCTGGTGTACTGTAGAAACATTGTGGTTCAACATGGAAGGCAACCTGCGGCGTCTTCTAATGGAAACATACGTATGAATATTCAATTTCTGCCAATAGATCCTCCTAAACGTTACACACTAGATCTTTTAATAAAATAGATAGAACTCTGTGTCAGTGTTAACTATCTTTGTGATGTTTTGTGATAAACTTTGTATTGAATTTGTCACATGACAGTCGTAATATCAACAAGGTGCTACAGACAAAGGACATAACCTGGCAGAGATTATCATTACAGCTAATGATCTTTCTATGAGAGCAATATTTCTAAAATGATTCAGTCATTTGTATATATTGATGGAGGGTCAGGGGAGAACCATGGTCTTTTTGGCAGCAGTTATACCCGCAAATATGATTTTCCAAAAAGCTAACTGGTCATATCAGTCATCAATGTTTATGATGTTTGATGTTTTTAATATTTCTGTATGTTTCAGGTATGCTGACAGAGCTGGACACAGTTGTGGGCCCACTCAGCCTGACGTCCAGTATGAGCTCTATGGTCCGTTATACGAGACAAGGTGTCCACTGGCTGAGGCTAAGCAGCCAAAAGGTAAAGTGACCAACAAAACCTGCTCCTGTTCCCGGATGCCTGCAAAACCCTTTCGAGCTGCCTCTGTCTCCTGAACTGTCCCTCAGGCTTTGTGCCAGTTGTCCTTTTTCTTCACTTCACACGGACATTAACTCATCTCTTCAAGAAGCTAGACGCACACAGATGTCACCTAGTGTGCGTGTGCTCAAGGATACCACACTGATTATTGCACTTGTTCATTTTGTTTTTTTTTTCTTCTCTCATGTCCACTTTTGGTGTCTCTCTCTTTCGCACTTTTTATGAACGTGGGTTACGTCTGTCGTAATCCACGTATTTCATGTCTTGCACCTGCTTCCTGTTCCTGTTCCTCTATATCAGCCGGAATCATGGAATAATTTGTGAATCAGGGCTTCATTCAAGAGTGACCTTAACTAAATTTGGATGGAACTATCTCAACGTAACCAAAAGTTAAAAAAGTTAAAAGTACTGACACGGATCTTATTTATTATCACAACTTCTGTTATTAATGTTGCTATTGTGAGCAGTAAACCACCTGTAAAACTAAAGGCACTTAAATCATTGTTTAAAAGTATCATGTTTAAACTCGTCACCACACAGTTTTTGCTGATTGATTTTATTTAATTTCTCTTGAAAAGAGATCAAGTAACCCTGTTTCACTCTAAAATAGTGGTTTGATTTGGATTCAGGGATTTTGTATTGTTTTTTTTTTATTCTGCATTGTATTGCTCCCACAAATCAGCTGGGATCACCCATGAGAATTCAGGTGTACATTTCACACGTGCATGAAGTCATTTCTTATAACATTTGTACTGGTGATATGTTTAATTTGATGTAGGAAGTGGAAATTAGTCAAATATGGGGAAATTGTTGTGCCACAGAGTAATATCAGACCAGCATTCAGTTTATCTCTTGTTAGCATCTGTATTTTCAGTTTTTTTCATATAAGTGTTGCCAGATTTACAGCTCTGGTTAGATTGAAATACACTTCCTGTGCAATAATAAGTGCATTTATAAGGTTAAATTAAAATATGCCATACTGTTAGACATTTTGTCCCCATCATGTTGAATGTAGGTTGAATTATGTAAAGATCATTGAGAGTTTCCCATAACGAAGATAAATCTAGACACATTCAAATGACAAATCATGATATAAGGAGGTGAAGTAGGTAAGGTTTTATTACTTCAGGGCAAGATGTACCTGTATGACACTATCAGGTGTAACTGTAGCATCTGTGGAATTTCAGCTTTAACTTCTTACCTGTTAGTTCCTGTAAGACACTGGTTTGCAGCTTGACTCTCGTCTGTCGCAGTGATTGGAAGTTGATGGCTGGATCGCGGTTTGATGGTTGGTGGCTGCAGCTCAGGGTTTGTTCGTCAGACCAAAGCAAACTATATTTTATTCTTGTCACCCTGTTAAAAAATTGCACTTCTTCTAATAGAAATTACACAAGCAGAAAAGTAAACACCTTACTTATGGAGGTTTCTTGTCTTAACTACTTGCAAGAACAAAAAAAAAAGGGGGGAATAATTTTACATCCCTGACTTTCCTTATGGTAAAGCGGTGGACGTAGTGGTTCACATTGGCCGTCAGTTTGAGTTACCTTTCAAGTATAGTGGAACTACCGCAGTCTTTAAACAGAACTACATTAGTGTTCCCTTTATTTGTTTTTGCAGTAAGCTGCTTTCCTCTGTTTGCTACATTTTTGTTGAGTAGCAAAATGTTGAGTTGCAAAATGTTTACTAGATCTGTGGGAGTAGAATAAAATGGCCAAACTATAGGTTATTAAAGAATGCACTTTTCTGAGTATTTGTAGTTAATTTCAGTGCGTTATTGGAAAAAAAGACCACGTTCCTTAAGACCGGCAGGACTGTGCATGTCTGTACTTGTTTATTGTAACTTTTGATTCTCAGCAATAAAGCGTGCGTTTTGTTGGCTCAAATGTTTTAGTGAGGCGTACTTCTTATTGATACACGTGGGTGGGGAATCCAAAAATAATCAGTATGAAAAAGTGAGGCGGGAAAAAGGAAAAGTTGCTTTAGATATGTGCATTGATGAGTATGTACATTTGGTTTAGAAATGTGTTGCTTGTTTAATTCAGTGGGTGTGTCTGTGCAGTTACACAATAAAAGGGCTAAACACGGATCACAAAGTGCTCCGAACTTTATTTTCTCACACAAATGATATTTTTTTAAGTAAGGAGCGAGTGCACTGGTTCCATGGCATTTGGGATTATTTTTTATGTACGGATCATCAGCAGGCTGCTATAGAAATGATCTTTATAGATTCTCACCACGGATGTCTACACTGCACTCGAGGTCATTTTGGCATTCAACGTTCATAAATTGTGCAACTTCAACAGGTTTTTTGGTGTTTTTGTCTTTTTTCAACCTGTGGCTTTATTTCCATCATCCTTGATTGTGGGTGCTTCATTTATGAATTTCTCTGCAACAGTTTACACCTTGTCCAAATAATTATTTACTGGAAAAAAATTGAAGGATGCTTTTTTCCCTTTTTGTGAAATATGTAAAGAATTTGTGTTGCAGTGTACAGAGATGAATAAACACTGGAAATTAGTTTATCGTTGTTTACTCTTATTTTTCTTAAACAAGAATCACACAATCTAATATTTGGTGGTAAAGGTTGTAAAATAACACGTGAACAGTGAATTACATGTAAAACATTTCTTAATTATCACAAATGGCTGTAAACATTACAAAATAACTGCTGCACTTCATAAATGCAACACAGGTAATTTTTATCTTTTTAATACATCTTATTTTTATTAGTGTATTAAAATATATACAATAGAGTCAAATCTTGTATAACTGGAGACTTAAACACTACAATATCACTGATTTGTTTTTTTAAAAAAAGTATCAAATTCGGTGTACTGTACAAAACCAGAATGATGGTTTATGTGTCTGATTCTCCTGCGAAGTTGGGGTTGACGAAAGCAGGCTGCAACAGAAGAATGACACAACTCAATATTTACACTCCCATTAAAGAAAAAACTTAACCTTGTGTTCACACCCAACCACAGCGGGCTAATCAATAAACAACTTACCACCTCAACGTTACTGGTTGTTCTTGTTGGCATGCTCAAGCTGCTCAGTTTATACCCCCGGATACTGAAGACATAGTACAGCAGTCCAGCTATCAAGACGCAAAACAGAATGGCCCCAATGATGGCGCCAGCAATCACGCCTCCACCTGTACAAACAGAAATACAACACTGTTAGAGTGGCTGTTTACATACTTTAACTGATGTCCAGCAGTTTCTACCCACACTTCTACACTGGTTTGACAATCTGCTGTGGAAATTGGAGCCACATCGATATGAGATATGAGAAAATTCTCCTCTAATTGTTTTTTACAAATTTTTATGGCAATCCATCCTACAGTTGTTGAGACGTTTAACTAAAAACTACAAATGTCAACCTCATGGCACAGGTGAAAACTCTGACTGGTGGTGCTAGAGGAGAAGTACCCAGTTGACTAAAGTGAGTAGGATTCATCATCTGGGGACCCAGAATTTCCTGGCAATACATCGGCCGACATTAGCCATGCTAGCAATGGCGCTAGCATTGTTATAAATGATGTAATTCTCAAATTGTGACTGTATTTGTCACTTTGTCACACTTACTTTTTCCTGGACCGTCAGTGGGAAAAACTGGTTGACCGCCATCGTCTGTTGTATAGTCTGAAATAGAGTCACACAGTGACACAGTATTTGTCACACAGAGAAGCTGTTAATCTGCTGCTTATCATATCCCAATTAAAATGTTGCCTGCAGTCCTCAAAAAAAACAATTTAAAAGAAGAACTTACACTGGCGGTGGCGGCATACGAAACCTCTCTTCTGCAGGCAGTTGTTGTCATTCCAGCGTCCGTCGTGGTACATCTCCACACAGCTCTCTTCGGCCACATCCCCGGGGTGGAAGGCTGCATTGGGCTCTCCGGGAGCCCAGTTGAGGAATCCCAGAGACGTCTTATCTGTCCAACCCCAGCCAACTACGAGATACAAGGTTCCAGCATCAAAAAAGGTCAGCACACATATCCATTTATTCAAAGCTCATGTCTACATGGCCCTGTGAAAAAACAACATTGTTATCATTGTTCTTAAGTCTATTTCTACACTCACAGTTGATGTCCCTGGTGAGCCCGATCCAGATGTTGTGATATTTGGTGTAGTTGAGGTTCCTGATGAACTCCACCTCCGCTCTGCTGTGGATGGACGCCAGCTCTGTCTTTATCGACTGGCAGTAGTGTCGGGAGTCCGGCCAAGAGAACCCTTGCTGACCGTCGTACACGAAGTAACAGTGGTGGCCGTAGGGCCTCCAATGTGGCAGACAATTCCCACCACCGGGGGCAGGAGTCGGCGGCGGCCTCTCTGAAAGAGACAACGTAAATTAAATAATCAACATTGCTTCAAGTTTAGACTGTAAAGGAAGTTTTTTTTGTGTCACATAATGTCCAACAGGTGGGAGAGAATTGAGAATAAAAGGGAGGAAACAGTAGAGGTCAGTGACATACCTGAGGAGATCTTGCAGATGTAGGGTTTAGGTTGGTCACATTTGGTGTCGTTCCAGGTCCCATGGAAGAATCGTGAGCCGTGCATACTCACACAGCCCTCGTCCTTAATGTTGCTGGGCTCTCCCGGTCCCCACTGAGTGAAGAAAACTGGCCAGCCATCTGTCCACGTGTAAGAGCCGTCATCCTGCGTTACAAGAAAATATGAACTTTGATTTAATGGTTAAACGGTCACTTTATGCCATATTACAAAAAACTGTTATTAATCTGCTTGTGATGGGTCAAGACAAAAGTCCAAAAATTGAACGCAGATTTGTGTCTTCTTTGCTACCACATTAATCTTTTCATGTTCCCTCAGATATATCTTGTGATCCTTTAGAGGGAGCTAGGTTGGGAACCACTGGACTAAACCCCCTAACTGTACATAAAGTAGTTCATTTAATGTTATGTATAATAATTTATCAGTCACAGGGGTCAATTAGTACTTTTAACTGATTGCTTGTAATGGAGCATTTTTACTGACAGTGGGATGTTTGGTCTGACCTGACATTAGTGTTTGAGAGTTAAAATGAATAATAATGTTTTCAGCTTTGATTATTAATACATAAATAGCAAAAAAATTTAATAAATTAGAACTAAGCTTGATGTTTTTAATTTGTCGGTAGTGTTATTGTGAAGCACCATGCGTCTGAGTCCGATCCAGGCATCAGCTCTGCCCTGCAGCACCACGCCAGCGACGAAGGCCTGGTCGTAGCTCATGTCGATGCTGGCCAGGTTGCCTCCCTGCTGCTGGCAGGCCGCCTGAGCCTCGCTCCAGGTCGCCCGCTCCTCCACCAGTTTGTAGCAGTTCTGGTACCAGGAGATGTAGCCGGATGGGCAGGGGCTCTTGGTTGGGGCAGGAGGGTCGATGCTGCTCGCTAATGTGGAAGCAGATGGAGAAATGTTTTTTTCAGTAAGGCCTGAACAGGGATTTAGCGGGTGTATGTTTAAAATGTGTCTGTTAGTGAAAGGAAATGAATGGTATTTGAGCAGAAAGAACAACAGCTGGAGTGTTTACTGACATTTCTTCCTGTAGCAGACAAAGCTATGATCCTTATGACAGGCATCATCATTCCACTTGCCGCTGACCAGGTGGTTGTGAGCTAGCGCCACACAGTGTTCCTGTTGAGAAAGACCAAAGCGATCCAATTATAACCTTTTTATTTAAGTAGTGTGCCGGTTTGAGTTCTGCCTGCTTTATAATAATCGTATATAACGCTGTAGTGTAAGTAAAGTGTCCTCACCGCTCCTCCTGCGTTGTTGGGCTCCTTGTCGTTCCAGTTGGTGTACAGCACAGGGCTGACCCCGTCACTCCAGGCGTACTGATTCTCTACCAAGAGATCTGACAGGCCGATCCACGTGGGCCCATGCAGGTCCCTCAGGTAACTAGACACAAAGTCTGGAGGAGAGGAAAGAATAAGAATATAGGGAGCAGGCGTATTGAGCTGCAGCCACTGGACTGTTTAAAGTCTCGTAGCTCACCGTTCTCATACTGGTCGTCAATAATTGCCAGTTCTCCTCCTTGGTCTCTGCACCAACTCCGAGCATAAGTCCAGTTGGCTCTGATGTCGTTCTTCTTCCCTTTGAAGATAAAGCACTTATCCTTGAAGCGCATCCAACCTGGAGGGAAGGAAGGTAAATAGGTTACATCATATATAGATGATTACAGGTTGCGTAAATGGTGATATCAATATGTGCTCTCATATTGTACATTCTCTGGGATATTGGTTGAGAAACAGTTCATGAGTGAAGTAATAAGCAGTCATGCTCAATAATTTGTAATGCTGCCCACAAATGCCTAATGCACTTGGAGATATTAAAGTTGTGTAAACGGTCTCAGGGTATATACTGCCAAACCTAGATATTCTATTAGTTAGGGGCGTAAATCACATGTTTCATCATGATATGACAGTGATTGAACAATGATACAATATTGGTAATACAATATCTGAAAGTCTGCCACTATACGTTTTAGATTCAATTCAGGGGCCTGCATATATATACGTGCATACATATGCCCTATAAGACAATCAGTTACTAATTAACTAAAATATGATTTGATTGATTTTAATCTATGTTTGCATATCTTCCTCGTCTATATTTCCACACAAAATAAAGATACTTAGAAATCGATGTTTTCACTTTGTATCGATATATTGGGTCTTTTTTGTAACATTGTTTAGCTGCATTTAATATCAAGCACAGTGTGAAATAAACACTAAGAGTACCACATTTTCCCTGGTAGTTTGTATATTAGACATTATTTTAAAGAATAAGGCTTGATTAAAATAAGCTCAGTAACTACCTCAAACAGCTGGGCACTGCGGATTATTATGCATTTTGTGCTCTAGTGAGTATTTCCAGCAGCACTACAGTGTGTGTGTTCATTTTAATGAAGGAACAACCTAGTATAACAGTGTAGCTAATTTGAGTTATATCAGGTTTTGCCGTATTGTGAGGTTATTACCAGACATATTCACTGCATCTATCTACATATAATCTGCATGTTTTCATAAATATAGAACACATTAATTTCAGATGTTTTATGTTTAAAAAGTATGTGATACCTGCAGGGCAATTGCCCTCCCAGGGCTGTGTGGGTGGAGGAGGGGTGTGGTGATCTCCAGGGAGCTTTTTACAGACGTATCCTGCTCCAGCTCGACCACAGTTGGCATCGTTCCATCCACCTAAACAGGTTCATTGTAAATATCAGCATCAGAAAATCCATTCAATAAAGATACAAAATGATTATTATCTAAATAATAATAAATAATATATAATAATAATATAATCGATAGGCCTTAATTGTCCAATAAGGAAAACATTTCAATACCTTGGTGTCTGTTCATCTGAACACACTGTTCCTCTCCATTGGCATTGTTGGGCTCACCTGGACCCCAGTGAGTGTAAGTCACAGGGGAGTGGTCCACCCATCTGTGCAGGTAAAACAGAAAAACCTTAGCATTGACATTTTGTGTGAACATTATAAAGAGAAAATCATCACATTTAC